GTAGATTACAATTCCAGGCCTTTGAGTTAACAGCATGACTGTTTACTACTAGGTCACCAGAGCTGCCTAACCTTACATTGTTGTTGTTGTTGAGTGAGAACTAACTCATAGCTGAAACTCTAGCATGTTTTCAGAGGCAGGTAACTGCACAGGAGATTGTCCATACATCTTTGGCATAACAGTAAGTGCATTTAAACTGTGAGCCTTGGGATTGCTGCAGAGCTTCTTGCCACTAGGCCACATAGTGTTCAGTAGAGCTTCCTAAACTGACACTAACCTGTTTTTGTTGTGTACGCTGGAGTCGGAACCAAGCCATAGCTGGCCCTCCAGTGAGCTTTCAGAGGCTATAAATCGTATAGGATGAGAATGTTCAGTCGTATTCCACAGAGCAGCTGGTAGATTTGAACTGTGAGCCTTTGAGATTGCAGCACATTTTCTTACCAGTAGGCCACCAGAGCTCAGCAAACTGACATTAGTAATGTTCAGATAGGTGAAAGGAGTTTAGCTAGATAAATCTGCTTTCATTTTAATATGGATAACAGGTCATATATAACTGCATTGAATTTATATAATTTTTTAAAAATCTATCATCTTCCTTTCCCATTATATCTCAGGAAGAACTAGTAATTATGTATATAAGTATTAATATGTGAAATAATCTAGGAAAATATGCATTGAAATATAAAGTATATGAGAATAGAAAACTAAAGATGGTAATTTTCAGTTTTACAGAATTATAAGTATTGAAACATAAAGGCAAATCTTTACCTATGACTATACTTACAGTAATAATTTAAATTATCAGATTAAATGAATCCATATTTTTTATCTTTTATTCCCTTCTGGTTTTCAGTAGTAGTTTTTTGGATAAATTAGTCCAACATGTTTCCTCTTTAATTGTCTTTCTGGGTGAAACTATAATAAAAACTCATCTTTTTTACTCTGCTCACATCTCGCAGAATATTGTATAGTGTTCCTAGGTGAGGAATATTTTTCCCTAAAGAGCAGCATGTACTGGTACAATGACAACCACAGAAACCAACCAATCTATATTCAGTCAATGGGTATTTAACAAGGGAACAAAACCTCCCTAATGGGGAACTGAAAACCTCTTCAACGTATGGTGAAGGCAAATCTGGATATAAACCTGCAGAAAACTGAAGCAGGGTCCATATCTCACACCATTAAAAAAAAAAAATTCAAGTGGATTAAAGGCACAGGGGAAAACCCAAACCATAAAGATCAGAAAAGACAAAATAGGACTAAACTTTGAAGTCCTAGCCTATGGCATAGTTAGGCTGGCAAATATAGCCAAAAAAACACAGAAAGTAGAGACTAAAATCCATGATTGGAAACTTCTGAAAATCAGCTTCCTAAGTGCATAAAACATTTGTTTTCCATTAGGGTGAAAAGAAAGCATATAGACTGGGAAAAATCATTTGGCAATGACATTTCAGACAAAGGTTTTATTTAAAAAAGCTTACAGAATACTATGATAATTGCTTTAAAACATTGAGATGTCAAAAAAAAAAAAGATACTGAAGTAATAGAGGTAAACAGAAGATTTTAAAGGGTAGCTCGAAAAGATAAAGAAAAAACATTATAATAAAATGTACAGAGAATAAAAGGGGCAGCATTCACTCACCATTTCTGAAGCAGAAATAACTGAAAAACAAATGTAAGCCTCAAGTTACAATATTGAGAGATGTTAAGGACACAGTCCTGAAAAATCCAGGAAGCATCGAAAGAAGATGAAAGGAATACACGGAATCACTGTACCAAAAAGAATTAGTTGACACTGAAAAATTTAAAGATGTACCATATGAATTAGAGTCAACGATGATGGAGGATTAAGTTTAAACTGCACTGAAGGCATGGCAAAATCATGGCCCCAGGAATCAATGGGATACCAACAAACATGTGTCAACCAAAAACACACAGCTCTGTATATGCTAACCATTTTATGTCAGAAAGCTTGAAGGACAGTTGTCTGAGTGTCTGACTGAAAGAGATCTGTATTTATCCCCATTCCTAAGAAAGGTGATCCAACAGAATGTGAGAATTATCGAACAACCTAATTAATATCTCATGCAAGCAAAATATTATTGAAGATCATTTGAAAACGGCTAGAAAAGAACATTGACAGAGAACTACCAGTATTTAAGCTGGTTTTAGAAGAGGCCGTAGCACCAAGGATATCATTGCTGATGTTAGCAAATCTCCTGGAATTATATTTTCAAAATGTGTTTCATACAGTCAGACCCTGGGTATGGATGCCCAATTTGCCAATAGCACAGAGTTATGAATCATTATCTCCTCCCTCCCTTGTAAAGCCTGCTTTAAAATACTCAATACTAATGCATATTAATACTTTGAGGTATAGCTGTTATTGTTGTATATTTTTAAAAGTCTCCATCTTCATCAAGTAAGAACCAGCTCCTCACTGATTCTCCAGTAGGTAAGTTACACAAGGAAAGCTTGCTCATGGTGGATTCAAACCAGCTGCCACTAGATTGGAAGCACAACTCCCTACTCACAAAACCATGAGATTTCCCTGGTAGTTGTATATGATGTTGCCTTTGAGTCAGAAGTGACCCATACCTGACCCTCAAGCAGGTTTTTAGAGGCGGTTAGTCTCACAGGACGAGACTGTCCACTTTAGTCTCTAGACTAACATTGTTACTTTTGGGTACTCTGGAGAGGTCCCTGACAGCAGATTTTCCCAGTATAATTCCTTTCATTTCCTCTCTGGTGGTGCCAAGCATGTTGGTTGTAGAACCAAACAAGCTGTAAATGTTAACAACCTCAATGTCTTCTCCATCTGTCATAGTGCTGCCAATTGACTTAATGGTGAGAATTTTTGTCTTCTTGATGTTGAGCTTCAATCCATATTGAATACTACAACCCTTGGCTTTCTGTAGCAAGCGTTTCAGGTCTTCTCCAGGTTTAGCAAACAAAGTATTGTCAGCTGTATAATAGGTTGTTGATGTGTGTTCCACCAATCCTGATGCCACATTCCTCCTTATAAAGACTAGCCTCCTGAATGATCTGTTCTACATATAGATTGAAAAGGTATGAAGACAGGACATATCCCGAACACACTCCTTTCCTGATTTTAAATCATGTGGTGCTTCCCTGCTTTATTCTGAAGACATTTTAATGTATCTGTTGTTGTTGTTAAGTGCTGTCAAGTATATAACAGATCTGAACCCTGTCCTTGTCCTGTGCCATCCATATCACTCCGGACACATTTGAGCCATTTGCTACAGATATTATATCAATCATTCTTGATGAAGGTCTTCTCCTTTGCTTATCCTCCAACTTTCCAAGCATGAGGTATCTAATAATGTTTCTTTAATGCTTTTATGAGTAGAAATGTACACTCTCAACTTAATTCTAAAACAAGCATCTGACTTTCTTAGATTTGAATCATACGTAACGGACTTAATGTACAAATTTGATATGAACATCAATTTAGGAATTGGATCTCTTTGTAATTCCATGACTGCTTATGTAGTGATTGACATGATTCATTCAGTTTGAAAAGAAATGCATTTCTACAATGACCTTTTCAAATACACTTAAATTCATTCAATTCCATAATTCCTACAACTGAAGATTAGGGAGCTCTGATGGTCTAGTGGT